TCGTGAATTGTCGGGAGATTACTAGATATAGGGTAGTCTGGTACATATAAGATGGTCACAACGTGACGGGATGACTGTGTGTGTAGGTAGTGAGTAATTGATTTGCAATCAGAGAGTATTGTTGAAGTTCGTTATAGCGTTTGTTTTAGTGCGAATGTTGAAATCAAGTGTATGGTAAAGTTATATTCAGAAAGAATAAACCAGTTTTATTAAGTAAGGACTTGTGTCGCTAAAGTTTCGTCGGAACGAAGTTACGGAAAGTTAATTAACAAACGGAGACGTAACAATATTATATTTCTTCTTTTTCATGTGTATTATTTATGTATTATTATAAAAGTGACTAAAATATAAAAATTATTAATGTTTTAGGATATATTAGGTAAAATAAAGAAAAAATAATGATAAATTTCCACGAGAAACACACACGAGCAATTCGCGAGTAGCCTGTGCGTTACATAGTTCGATAGGGTAACGTGAGCTACATGTTCGCCAAGTGATTTACAACTTGTGTGGCGGGATTATTAGTTAGACACGATTCAAAGAGTAATAGAAAAGTAAAATTTAAGTATAAACAGATGTTTACTGTTACGAGTTTAAAGCTATTTAGTATAATCAAATGTAGTTTCATGTTACAATTTGAATTCATTTAGATTTATTTCGGATTTTTATGGTGGTTACGAGGTCGGTCAGATTGACCAATGTCACATAGAGTTAAGGTCGAGAAAATTACAGATAAAATAAAAAGTTTTATTGAAAAACTTTTTAAATTTCTTTAGAAGCTTTTCGAGATTATGCAAATGAAATTTGAGATTTTTCAGATGAAGAAAAGTATTATTAATCTTCACATGAAAATCACTTTTCACTCGAAGCAGTCAATACTTTGATACTGTATATTTACAAAGAAATTTGTAGTGAAAATATTTCATTAAACATTCTGATTTTTTTACCATGAAAGACTCTTAATGCTTACTAAAAGCTTGTGAAACTTGGTGAAGATACACAAAAAGTTATAGTATGGAAACTATAAAGGTCAGTTTGGGGCCACGAACTCGGACGATTCGACTGAGCCCTTAATGAGAGCGTTACTTCATCACGTGGACTGAATCATATTTACTGGTTGAATGATAAATTAGCTGAATAGTTAATAGCATGATTCAAAGCTTCTACAGAGGTCCACATGCATTAGGGAGCCAACTCTAGCAGTCTCCTTAGTAGAGTTTGCCGAGTAGTAGGTGTGGTGAAGGCTTGCAATTAAAGATATCATCCTTAATCTTGTGGTTTGGTTACATGGATAATCCAGACTGTCAAGTGTATGCTTTTAAAGCTTATGAATCCTGACTGAAGTAGCTTGCATGAACACTTTCCTTTGTGTGTAACTCACACCATTTTAAATACAAAGGAGCTTGACTAAATGATTCAATCTGACCTGGCCTTTTAGCCCATGTATTACAGAAGTCATTCAGGTTGAAAATGCCCAGTGTCAAAACTCTTGCTTTTTAAATATTTAACTCTCTATGACCCCCAAGATGACTTAATAGAATCAAAAGCTCAAATAAAAACACACCATGAAGGGGATCATTCGAATATGACTAGATTACTTCAGATTTAGTTTTAGAAGTTATATTTGTTTGGTATTCAGGTAAACTGATCTCCAACAGAGAACCTATGAGAATTTGGAATAAACAGCATATTAAATAATTGTTAAACAGAAAGTAAATTGAACACGGACAGCAAAGAATTGAAACAAACACAAATGAGCAAAAAGTAGAATATTTACACTAATGCTGTCGACTCAACTTGCCAGCTTCTACGTGTGTTGTATAAATTCTGTCTGTGAGAGCAGAGAACTTATTTTTTCATGTATTCATAAGACAGAGACGAGAATCATACTGATGATTAACTCAGGCCAAAATTTCTAATGGGATAATTCCCAATCTTTGATTACCTATTTCTATTTCTACATATCCAACAACTCTGAACCGTCTCTTGAAATGAGTACAACCTCACTTCAGGAGGGCATGATACAAAAACAGAGTGATGCAATTATAAACTTTATTTAATAATTATTGGGGTTTGCAATCTATGTATAAACTAGAGGATTAGAAAAGCTTTACAGCTTTTCTACAACCTTTTTAGAAGGAACCCATCAGTTACGTACAGAACAACTGCTCGAAAAAGAAAAACAATTATCTGAACAAAGACATGTTTTCTATTATTTATCGAGGGGTTCAACAATCATATTACTCTTAAATTAAACATTTATGTGAAACACTCCATTAATACTTCTAAGGGCTCTGAAACATTGAATAATCCAAGTGGTAAAGCAAGAGTCTTTTGCTTTCATTAAGTATCATGTGCTTTTGGCTGTTTCAACTATCTTTACCTGACGACAACTATTTGCCCCTCAGTGAAACAGCAGTATGTCTGCTGACTTACAACTCTAGAAATAGGGTTTCAGTTATTAATATGTTTCCTGGCTTATTATTAACCGTAAGAGCACTATTTTCGTTTTTTTTTTGTTCTATTGTTCCAGAAGGGATTTTCAGAATTATCTCCTAAATCACTTTTTCAGGGAATTGGATTACGTTTTCTTATGGTTGCATTGATCTGTACAATGCTCTATTTTGCTATAATAATAGCGTTTTCTATTCAGTTGAATTTAGTAATTTTGCAAGTGATATTTTCCAGTGGGATACAACTACTTGTAGTGCCTTGAAAGATGTTTTGTAACACTTCATAGCTTCGCATAGCTACCTTGAATAGTTATACAGTGGATATTATTATATACATTTTGAAGTATAAAAATATTTTATACATTTGAAGTATAGAAATATTAAGATATTTAGGTACGAAGATAAAAGTCAAACATAAAATTTATCCGTTGGTTCATTGATGCCAATTGCAATCATTTTAAAGTTTATCTATGTTTCATTGGTAACAACTGCTTATTTACCATTCCACAACTACTAAAGAATATTACTCTTATCTGACATATTCAGATAGATTTTTCTCAGTTTTCGTGCAGTTATTTGGCAACCCGTTTTTTGGTGTCCTTGTAAATAAAAATGGTAGTAAAATTACGTTATTTCTTTAGCTTAGATAAAGTTTACATGCCACAAATATCATTCAATACCAATACCTCTTTAGTAGATGATTTGTTATCTGACACATTTATAGATTAAGTTTTATGTATGGTATGATTTTTTTCTAAATGACATGGTGTGAGATGTAAGAAAATTAATTTAAGTTACAATTACATAAATAATTAACATTAAGCATATCCTAGGTTACGGTTTTCCATATTAATCACATTGTGATTTTGATTTGTGTTTGAACCAAATTAACGGCGTTTAACGCTAATTTCATTGTTACTTATTCTCAAATACTTCTAAATTGGTTTGTTTGTTTTTGAATTTCGCGCAAAGCTACACGAGGGCTATCTGCGCTAGCCGTCACTAATTTAGCAGTGTAAGACTAGAGGGAAGGCAGCTAGTGATCACCGCCAACCCTTGGGCTACTCTTTTACCAACGAATAATATGAATGACTGTAACATTATAACACCCCACGGCTGAAAGGGTGAGCATGTTTGATGGGACGGGGATTCGAACCCGCGACTCTAGGATTGGGAGTCAAACGCCCTAACCATCTGGACATGTCGGGCCCAGTAGTTGAGAACTGACTATACTAAATTGAATAAGTCAAGCTCTGTCATCAGATAAATTTTCAAAAGGATGATATCTCCAATATACAAGTTGTTTAGTATCAGAATAAGGCCCGGCATGGCCAGGTGGTTACGGCACTCGACTCGCAATCTGATGGTCGCGGGTTCGAATCCCCGTCACACCGAACATGCTCGCCCTTTCAGCCGTGGGGGCGTTATAATGTGACGGTCAATCCCACTATTCGTTGGTAAAAGAGTGGCCGAAGAGTTGACGGTGAGTGGTGATGACTAGCTGCCTTCCCTCTAGTCTTACACTGCTAAATTAAGGACGGCTAGCGCAGATAGCCCTCGTGTAGCTTTGCAATAATCCAAATTTTTGGTATTTTTTAATGTACATTGCAATCTATATACACTAGATGCCGCTTATTGTGATCATTTCAGGACACCGTTGTATTGATAACAATAACCGAATGATAACGCCGATAAAATAAAAATTCAGCAGCTACAGTAATGTTTATTGATATAGGGTAGCAAACATATTACTTAAAAGTGTGAAAACTGGATTTTTACGTTTATTGACATATTTAAAAACAATTAAAGAAAGGAAAACACAATTAAAACAAGAACTGGAAAAAAATCATTTAAAGTTGACTGTTTTCTATTTTTTCGGAGCAGTTCATATCCATATTGTTTAGGAAATTCGCCTGATCTGTGATGTACAGAGACATATCAAAAGTAAATAGACACCATGATGTTTATACAATAGTCATTTAATTAAGAAAGGCTCCCATGGCCAAGTCAGTCACCTAATATGAACCCCATCGAGCATGTCTGAGCCATACCTGCTCGAGCAGTGAGAAGAAGTTCCAGAAAACCAGCGTCCCGTGGAGAGCTACTTGATGTTTTGCGTGCAGATTGGGTCAAGATCCTACAGGAGAAAATTGAAGAACTTCGATTCCATGCCAGAACGAGTCAAAGCACTGATAAATGCTAGTGGCAAATCGACTAAGTACTGATGCACATTTGTAAACATTTTTGTCAAGTTGATAATGTGAGATAAATGACTATTGAAAAAATCATGGTGTCTATTTACTTTTGAGATGTCTCTGTACGCCAAGTCGTAAAATTCGAAGCCCCTCTGCATTTCAGCACTTGTTGAAGGTTTATCAGCTTTATGGGCTTGAGCTTCTTATTCATCTCTAAATTCTTGGTCTGCCGATTAACAGTCTGACAGAACATTAGTAAATCAAAGTTTTAATGATTATTCGACCTAGTCATCTTTTCCACTGCGCTTTCTCTTACAGTTTAGGTCTTCATTATATTTTGCTCCCCTCTCAATGTCGGCTCGATTTCT